GGACTCTTTATCGGGGGGGGGGGAGTGATAGGACAAGGGGTAATGTGTATAAGCTAAAAGAGGGCAAATTTAGACTAGACATCAGGAAGAAATTTTTCACTGTGAGGGTGGTGAGACACTGGAACAGGTTGCCCAGGGAAGTTGTGGATGCCCCATCCCTGGAGGGGTTCAAGGCCAGGGTGGATCAGGCTTTGAGCAACCTGGTCTAGTGGGGGGTGTCCCTGTCCATGGCAGGGGGATTGGAACTTGATGATCTTTAAGGTCCTTTCCAACCCAAACTTCTACGATGCTATGATTCTACAGTAAAACCTTTTTGCCGCTTCTACATTCCATTCAACATTAAGTTTCCAAGAGTACTTAGAAAGGAACAACAGCAAAAATAAGAAGGATGCAGACACATCAGAGAGGGTCCAAAGGAGTGCTGCGAAGATGATGAAAGGGCTTGAGAACCTGCCCTATGAGGAAAGGCTGAAGGAGTTAGGTTTTTTCTCCCTGGAGAAGAGAAGGCTTGCAGGGACCTCACAGTATTCCAGTACCTAAAGGGCAGCTACAAAGAGGATGGAGGCTCTCTCTTCACAAGGGGCCTCACGGAGAGAGGCACATGCTGCACCTGAGGACATCTCAATATAAAGACTTTTTTACAGTGGGAAACAGTCATTCACTGGAACAACCTCCCCAGGGTCATTGTATAATCCCCATCACTGGAGGTTTTCAAGATGTGACTGGACACAGCGCTAGAAAATCTCATCTGGGCTCTCCTTCCCACAAAAGGCTGAACTACATGATCTTTCGAGGCCCCTTCTAACCTGGGCTGCTCTACAATTCAATGATACTGAGCCTAAGAACACCTCATTCACACTCCTGTAGCAGCACATCTCAGAAAACCCCTCTCCTTTGTTTTCCGACAGTTTTATTGCAGCAGGGTTATTTCAACTTTCAGCATAATCTGAAAAATTATTTCCTTTCTTCAAGAATAATGGACAGAAGTGAAACTTTCTAAACTCATAAGTCTGAAAATACTGACTGTTCCTGCCTTCAGTTCTGTACATCAAGAAGCAGACACTAAAGACGTAGGACTAGTGCAATCAAGCCATTTAAATTTACGTTCCAACAGCAAGACTGCAGGCTTGGTGTACCCCCTTTGACAAACTACAGAAATAATAGTTCAAGTTTACAGCCTAGTTAACATATAGAGACACTTCATAACATGTCTAAATATTTTCTCCTCTCAACAAGCATCTCTTGTATCCTCCCCCTGTAATTTTCACACAAAAACTGGATTATAGATGAAAGCAGAGAAAGATCAGAAAAATCAACACCAGTTATACATATTTGGCATAAATGGCATGCTCCAGTAATAAGGCACAATACAGTTAAAAGTTCTCACATGGCATTTTTTCTGTCCCTAGAAAACACATGTGCATTATCAGCAAGTTACAGAGAGAAAATAAGTTCCTTTTCTTAAAGGAATCATCAGTCACTCATAGCAAAACCCAATATGCATACTTACACTGCAAAACAGATAAAAAATTGCTCTAATAAGGTAATATATTCTACAGCAAGGACAGATTACATACCTTGTGCAAGCATGTTAAACTCCAAGAACAGTGCTATGTGATAAAGCTCCATAGCTTCTTCAGCCCTAGTCATGTTTAGTTTTCCTGCTACAAGAGCCTGAACTTCACTTAAACTGCCCACTGAAGGGCTGGAGTGCAAAACTGAGAGGTCCACCACATCTGTATACATACAGTTCAAAATGACCTTAGCATATTTTTTTGGTATGATAGATTCATCCAATATAATTCTAGTTGGAGTCCGTAGAGTTCGGTCTGTGATTTCTTCACCAGTTCGTATCCTCCTCTGCAGCAAGTGACGAAAAAATGGAGATCGTGACGAAATAATAGCTTTGTGAGCTCTGAGCTCTTCATCTAGACAGTTCTGACTTCCACCAAAAGTTTCTACTAAGTCAGAGTTGGATGAAAAGCTAAGAACTACATCGTAGTAGCACATGTAATCAAACAGTGCACGCATGTCAACATCTAAGGAATTTGGTGTTCCAAATTCTTCACTAAGCTGCACAAGGATATCAACGTTTTGGAATCTTGAATCCTCCATTCCAAACTCGCCCGTATAAAGGTAGTGTAACAAAGCAGAAAACATAGGCATATCTATGCCAGCTGTATTAATATCCATTATTATTTCTGCCCCATACTCTGGTGAGGAAGAAAGCAGTGTCTTAAAAAATGGACATCTTGCTGCCAATATCGCACGATGCACAGGAAAACAGGTTTCTTGAAATATTAAGTCTACATCAGTACAATATTTGTACTGATAAAGTTCAGCCATGTCTTTCTGTAGCGTCCTGGCTTCTGGTCTTGCCAAATTAGCTTGTAGATAAAGTTCCTTTAAGGCTGATGTCCCTTCATATTCTTCTACTAATGCATTAACATCTCTGACATCCCAGCCTGAGAGGAGCTCACGCATCTGTTTGGCATGGTCAGCAGATCGGCTAGACTTCCGACGCTTAATGAATTTCTTCTTGAGGGTGGCAAGGCCAGAGGTTTTCTTCTTCTTGTCTTGAGGTTTCTCATGGCCATGGTCAAGGCTATACAGCTTTGATTCACAGCCATAACCTTGATGAGAGTAGGATGATGTCCCTAAAGGCAAAAAGGAAAATTGAACATATTTATTCTTTAAATTTAAAGGAAGGTCCATAACATGCAAACAGTCCATCAATGTCTCTGCAAGTTACAGAGTTTTCCTTCTCCTCAGATCGGATAATTCAACAAGTTGTAAACCCGACCAAAGCCTTTTCTGGCTATTAAGAACAAAACTAAATTTTTTTTTTTTTTAAACATTTACTCAATTTTACAAAACAAGCAGTGCCAGTTGATGTAGGTCTGCAGCACATGGCACACTTATCTAAGCAGTAAGAGAACACTGGTCATAACATTACAAGTGCCATTGTATTAACTAGAGGAGGTAAAAAATATAGCCTTTTTAAAAACTTGTATGATCTCAGTGAAATAGTCGCACCTCCCCCTTCAAAGTGTTTTTCAAACTCTGTTCTTCTAGTATTAAGTGTCATTTCAACAAGAAAAGCATACCTGGCATCAGATAGTTACAGCAGTCAGAAGAAAAAAAGGAAAAAAGAGCATAATACCAAAACATTCAGGGAAACTGAGGACAATGAATTAATTTTCAATGCAAATATAACAAGAAAGTAAAAATCCTGTCATATGATAATAGTAGTGCGGAAAGTCAAACACATAAAATGGGCTCCTTTCCACAGAGCCAGAGATGCTAATTTGTGCATACACCCCATTTAAAAGAATATGGAGAATGTAAGTTTTCCTGTATTATTTAAGATGTCCTTTGAACAGAGCATTATACAATTGAAGTATACTTATAATTATTTTTCCCCTCAAAAATAATTTATAGTGAAGTTATGTTATGATCCAAACATGTCATGAAATGCAAAATTAATTCCCCTCAACATTATCTGTGTTACATACCTGACCTGTTCTGCTAAATGAACCTTTGCTGATTGTCAGTTTGAGGCTAGTTGCATATACAGTAACACTGATAGCAATTTAGTAAGAAAAAGAGGAATTAGGATTCGCATTTCTAGAAGTAACGGAAAACTGAAGTAATGTTTGAGTAAAAAAGTATTTAAAAATTAGAATTCAAACAGAAGCATGACTCTCACATTAAAGGGTTATTTTCTAATTTAACTTTATTTACAGAATTTTCACTCTAAGCCAGATGGTGAAAAACCTTAGACCTGACAGGAAAAGGAAAAAAAGTACACAAACCCTACTACTACTTCCAGACAAAACAAGTCCAGAAAAAAATCTGCAAATGGTATACAGATCAAAAACAATTGCAGGTTCATCTGAAACAGTATTTGTCCATTTTTTTGTTGGGAATAGTTATCATGTTTCCATTGATACACCTGTGTAGCCTCACTAATTGTTGCCTTTTTTTGATTTTTAAGTTCAAAGCACATCCAACCACGAGAGTTTTTGGGGTCTTTTATAACTTCTTCTATCACTGCTCTCTCACAGTTCCATTTCTTTCAGGTAGATCTGATGTGATGCTATTTTGCTATGCTATTTTGACAGTGATGTTATGCGCCAGTCTGTCAAAACACAGTACTTTTAGTCACCAGGTTATCTCAGGCAAGCATTTATTGAACTTCAAAAAACAGAGGAGCAATTCAAAGTGGCATTTGAGAGCACAGCAACTGTAGCAATCTAAGACTACTGTAAATTGTTTTATTATTTACGCCTCAATAATTCTAAGTAACCCTATATGCTGGCTTCTATGCCAAGCTAACTAAAACTCCCCCGAACCATGCAATGGAATGGTTTTACAATCCCTCTATTAGTGAAAACTTTGGGAAGGAACTTTGTTATCTTTGAGGAAAGACCTCTAACCATTTTATCCATGCTACATTAAATTTTGCTTGATCAGGCAATGTGTTATCATATTGACATTTCAAGACATGAAAGGAACAACAGTAACTCAAGACAATTTCAAAGAGGCTGTGCTGCAAAATCCACCATAAAAATTCCTTCCACATGCTATACTATGTATTACAGTAGAAAAGTAGAAATTCAGTCTCCTGCTGATAGACACAAGCCTAGAATTTCTGCTCCACTTGAAGAGTATACATTACATTACAATAAATGTACAACTACAGTTTGGTCACTCTATGATGATAGATTCTTAAGTACTTCTAATGGCAGGATTCTAATGGCAAATTTGAATATGCAAAATACTCTCTCACATTCTGCTAAAGAAAAACTAGGACACCAGAAGTCTCAATTTCTTTCTTCCCTGAAGGCTGCTGTCAAGTACTACTTGCATGTGAATCCCCATAAGATGCTGAAACACCATTTAAACCTATGCATAGCCCGAGCTACTTACAAGATTTAACCTTGGAAGTACTGCACACAGTGCTATTAACCTTTACAAACAGATAAAACACTGCTATCAAAGTGCCACCCCACTACTGCTTTTCTCCAGAGGCAGAAGTAGAGAAGTACCAACACAGCCTCCCTGGGTCCACAACAGCTGGTTGCGCTGTATCCCTCAAAGAAAAAATTTTGAGGAGCCCTTTTTGACCTGCCTGTATTCCTTCATCAGGCAGCAGCATTTGAAGTAGGAAAGAGAAATGTATTCCCTACTTCTACACTACAAGACACCAATCTATTAAATGCTGTTAAAAAGCAATAGTTACTTCATGCCCCTAGACCATATCTAGCTTTGAACAGATAAATATTTACAAGAAACAGATGACTGCCAAGAGAAACTACTTGGGCACTTGACAACAAATAATGGGATCTGTCTAGCCCTCTGCATGCTTACACATTTTAAAATCTAATTATAGAGCTCTATTTAAAAATAAACATCTTGAACAGATGTACCACCCTAGAAAATGGTGTGAAATCCTCCTCCTGAATGCTGTAGACAAATCAGCCAGAGATTACTAGTTAGACCTTCGTTAAAACAAAAGTATTTTCACAGCAAGAGCACTGCATTATTTTTACTGATTTATCTCATCTTCATAAACTGTAAGCAGACTCAGCATTAAGTCAACTATCATGGGAGCTTATCCTATGAAACTACTGTGCTTTGCCAGATCACTTCTCAGCTTTTCACATTCACCATACATTCACAATGTAACACAGTGCAGGGCTTTAATGGTAAAGTAGCATGTCTAAAACAAACATGCAGGTCTGAATCCAGTTTGCAGGAATAAGACAACTAATAGATATCATGCAGTCATCATAACTCTGTCTAGTATACATATTTACAGTTCTATTTTGTGGATGTAAATAGATCTAATGCCTTCCATATTCAAAAAAAAACTGTAAAAGTTGATTTAACATTAAAACATCATAATTCTGGAAAGTGATGAAAACCTCAGCTATCGATTCTAGGATACACCGATTTTTGACTGAGACAGCTACACAAACCAATCATCCAAACAAGAGTCAAGACAAGAAAAAGCCAAACTCCACAAAGTGGTAAGAAGAAATGTATACCTGTGTTGTAAACAGCACACTTATTCTACTAGTACTCTGACAGAACTGCCACCATAATACCAGAAGATTTCAGCAAGCATTTTAACCAGAATTTTAACCTAAGATGAGACAGCCATGCGCTTTTAGACCTTTCTCAAAAAAGTCTCAACCACAATTTTCAATAGGTAATGGGAATCAGTAAATTTATCATTACATACCACATAATGGGTTTCTATTTTGAATTTAATACTTAAGAGCATCAAAAAAAGCTTTCCACACACCAAGCAGAGTTTTTGAGGAATTTAATGAAGCCTCTGGAACTCTCCTCTCTTCAAATCTGCTCAAAAAGTGTTTCAGCATGCAGATCTGCCTGTCTTCAGGTCTGTAAAGATTCCTCTTCATTCAATATAGAGACAGATAAAAAACACCAAAATGTGCAATAAAAATGTCTTGGCTGTGATTTCAGAAAACGTGTGTGTGTATATATATATATACACACACACACACACACACACCCCCTAAACTGAGGCAAACCTTTTACTACTCTTAGTTATGATACACTGAAAATACATAAAGCTTTAAGGGGGACTTTACAGCATGGATATCTAAGCATGGACATATAAGATGTTAGTACTAAAAGTTCTTCCTTGACATGCTACAACAGCACACACTGAATTTTTAGCTCAGAGCACAGGTCTTCACATGCAACAGTCTGCAGGCTGTGCTCTACTCAGATCTCTGAAAATTGGGAGTGTCACAAAAGCCGAGACGAAAGAGGAAAATTACAGAGCAAGCCAATTTTTCCTCTGCAAGTCATTTTTCCTCACTGTGCTTTCAGTGGTGATCAAGAAAAGAAGTAACACTGAATATCAGTAACTACTTATTCAGTGTTTGCAAGCCAAGGCATAAAGAAGAAAAGTGTTTATATAAAGTATTTATGTTATTTACTGCTAAGATCATTCTTCAGGCTGTCAGGGTTGTATTGGGGGTTTTTTTAAGCAAGATTTATCTTCTCAAAAACTGCCTTCTTTTAGATTCATCACATAACTATTTATTATTTATAGTGTGCCAGTACTTAAATCTACACTGAGGTCTTTTTGCCCTAGACTGAAAAGCATATGAAGGTAATACCTGCCCCAGTTATGACTGGAATGAGAAAAATCAATTCTTAAGAGCACTTCAACTCAGGTTTCCAGTTAAGCAAGGTCCTTGCTTGTAAATAATACTGTGTAGGAAAATTAGTACCCCCATTCCCTATTTACAGGAAAAGGACAGGAGAAAAAGTTGTCTTCAAGACTGCTTGTTACTTTCACAGGCTTATTATCAGAGATATCCCTTCTAGTAAAAAGGAAGCAATTCACTCATATTACACACAGTGCCAATACTACAATGAATACTGATGATCAAAAGCAGTATATGCTCTAGTACAGTCTCACAGGAAATATGAGGAAGAAGAATAGAAAACGGTAGATAGCATTAACAGACAGCAACTCCTCTTGAACTAGGAATACGAGCACGCATGGTTTCATTACCAAAAAAAAAAAAATCCACCTTTTTTTAAAATAACCTGGCATCTGTTTACTAGCAAATGGCAGATCAAGTCATTGCATACGTAGGCCAAACAGATACTGGACAGTACTGAATTTCATGCATGACTGAGCTTGAATGGATTCAAACTGGTGACCTAGAAAATAAAAGCTCTGTGTAACATGACTGCAAGCAATTCAAATCCAGTGCATCCACGATCCAGCAAGTCATTTATGTAAGTGACAAGATAACTGAGAAGACTTACCTATGAATGTCTGTTGTGCCTGTGAATTTCCCCCTACCCTTGGGGAACACGAGTGAGGGTAGTTAGATGCATTAGCACCCATTTTCTTCACTCATTCAGGCATTCCGCCTGCTGGCTCTTCAATGTATAATCCCATAATCCTTTATAAATCTTGAATCCCAGCTCCAGCATTCTGTTCCTCCATTTCTGAAGAACAAAACCACCAATAAGTTACTTTGTTTTGGGGTTGGTTTTTTTAGTAGGTATTACATCATTTAGATAAAATAAACTCAGTACAATAAACTGCCACAAGCAACAGGATGGCTATCAAACTTCTAGCTAAGAAATCTTCAAGTAGGAGTCAGTCTAGACTAGATATGTTCCTTTAACTATACCAAGAAAGACTTTTCATACATGCTGATATGTTTACACATTGTTATAAAAACACAAAATTGAATTACACTGAGAAAGCAGAATAAACCAAACCCATTCCACCATCATAGAATCATTAAGGTTGGAAAAGACCTCAAGGATCATCAAGTCCAACCATCAACCCAGCACCACCTAACTCACTAAACCATGTCCCTAAGCACCACATCTACACATTTCTTGAACACCTCCAGGGATGGTGACTCCACTGCTTCCCTGGGCAGCCTGTTCCAATGCCTGATCACTCTTTCAGTGAAGAAACTTTTTATAATATCCAGCCTAAACCTCCCCTGGTGCAACTTCAGGCCGTTTCCTCTTGTCCTGTCACTTGTTACTTTAGGAAGAGGCCAGCACGCACCTCACTTCAGCTGCACTTTGATTTCATATCACTTCCATACTTCTCATTCAGTCCTACTTTTCCAGTTTAGATTAGTACCTAGAAGTAAGTTTATAATAGTAAAAATAAAGCACTTAAGCATTCACCTACTGTTTTATTAGGCATCTGAAAATGTTTCAGGAAGTCAATTCTGCGGAAATCTGAACAAGGATTCATTGCTAAACACACAACAAGCACATTCTAATTTATTCTCATTTTAGCAGTGTATCATGGTTCAACCTCAGCTGGCAATAAGCCCCACATAGCCACTGACTCACTCCCCTCCAGCAGGGCTGGGGAGAGAATCAGAAGAGCAAAAGCGAGGAAACTCATGGTTTGAGATAAAGGCAGTTTAATAAGGAAAGCAAAAGCCACACACGCAAGCAAAGAAAAGCAAGGAATTCATTCACTGCTTCCCATGGACAGGCCATCTCCAGGAGAGCAGGGTTCCATCACCTGTCTTATTTGTGAAGACAAACGCCATCACTTTGAACATGGCCCCCTTCCTTCTTCTTGCCCCAGCATTACATACTGAACATGACATCATATAGTACGGAATATCCCTTTGGTCAGTTGGGGTCAGCTGTCTCAGCTGTGTCCTCTCCCAGCTTCTTATGCACCCCCACTCGCCGGTGGGGTGGGGCGAGAAGCAGAAAAGGCCTTGGCTCTGTGTAAGTGCTGCTCAGCAGTAACGAAAACATCCCTCTGCTATCAGTGTTCAGCACAAGTCCAAAACATAGCCCCATGCTAGCTACTATGAAAAAAATTAACTCTATCCCAGCCCAAACCAGCACAGTGTTAAAATATTGATACTGCAAAATGAAAGTTAGCACACTGAAGAACTGCCTACTGTCAGTTGAGCACGTGGCCCCTTCCAAAACATAAATACGCATATAAGAAAGTGATACAAAGGTAAAAATCTATACTAAGAATTTATTAGACTCCATTAAATATCATGAACATACAGCTAAATTCTCCTGTGTTGCCACAGGTATACCTCTATTTGCTATATGCTCCCAACTTATCTTCTTTCTCAGTACACCTCTGGCATGTTACATGGGCCAAGTAAGTGCCATGCAAGAGAGTGTGTTTCAAGGAAGCTGCAGCACTGTTCCAGTCTCTTTGCCCTGCTTTAATAATCTGTGTATCTGTCTCATGAGTAGCTCAGAAGAGGGAGTTACTGTGAGGTGAGATACCATTCCAAGGGGAGAGGCACAAATGCAGTATGCAAAGCAGATAAGCAGATCCCAGGGAATCTTTAAGCAGTCTCAGAAATGAGCTGCTAGAGCCTGGATTGTATCTTTTGACAGCAAGGTATACTTAACCACTCAAAGACTTCGGTGCTTTTTTTGTTTGCTTGGTTTGTTTTGCCAGCATCCACTTCAGTCTCTACACTAAACTGAGCCTACCTGCACAGAAGTCAGCCCTGCACATAACCTGATGAGTCTAGTACAAATGTAAATACATTTCAGTTACCGCATAAAATATCAAATCAAGAATGCCGCTTCCCATGGTGAAAGACAGCTATAGAAGGAGACAAACGTAAAAATGAAGAAACAACTTCCAAATTGCAAACAATTAGATCTTCAGCTGCAAAAGGAGAGAAAGATTTAATCTTTCCTTGCAGAAGTTATCCTGCATACCAAAAGCTTCCCATTTTGGCTTAGCTGAAGAATCTTAATATAATTTTAGCCTCTGAATACAGTGATGGAATTTTTTTGTTTTAAAAGCTACCATCAGGTGAACTTTTTCCTGCCTTTCTGGTAAGCATTTATATGCATCCATGTAAGCATTACCAAAGGAAACTGAATTCAACATCTGCTGACCAACTGAAGCAGGATCTCATTGAGAGAAGTGACACACACACACGTGCATTATGTATGTATACACGTACACAGAAAAAAAAAAGTTAAACTATGTCATAAAAGTTATGTTGTTTAAGAAGAAGCCTGCACTACAGAAATGGTATATGAAGTGTGTTATATGAAACAAGGAAGCTTTGGAAGCCAAAGTTACCATCTCCAATGCTACAAAAAGCACAGAAGTGACTTTCAGATTACACTGATACTTATAGAGCAGAATAAAATTTAAAATAAACACAAACCTAGTTGAAAGTTTCAGTACCTGAAATGAGTTTCTCAGTTTTCTCAATACCCATCATACCTGATCCTAAAATCAGGAGACCTGCATGGTGAAACAGGGATC